GGAAAGAGGAAGTCAAACTATCCCTCTTTGCAGATGATATGATTCTTTACTTAGAGGATCCAAAGAACTCTACTAAGAGACTATTGGAACTCATAGAAGATTTTGGCAAAGTAGCAGGATATAAAATTAATGCACAAAAATCAATACCCTTTGTATACACCGGCAATGCCATGGCTGAGAAATAACTTCTGGCCGGCGCCGCGGCTCACTAGGCTAATCCTCCGCCTAGCGGCGCTGGCACACTGGGTTCTAGTCCCGGTCGGGGCGCCGGATTCTGTCCCGGTTGCCCCTCTTTCAGGCCAGCTCTCTGCTGTGGCCAGGGAGTGCAGTGGAGGATGGCCCAGGTGCTTGGGCCCTGCACCCCATGGGAGACCAGGAAAAGCACCTGGCTCCTGCCATCGGATCAGCGCGGTGCGCCGGCCGCAGTGCGCTGGCCGCGGCGGCCATTGGAAGGTGAACCAACGGCAAAGGAAGACCTTTCTCTCTGTCTCTCTCTCTCTCACTGTCCACTCTGCCTGTCAAAAAAAAAAAAAAAAAAAAGAGAAAGAACTTCTAAGATCAATCACATTCAAAATAGCTACAAAAACAAGCAAATACCTTGGAATAAACTTAACCAAGGAAGTCAAGGATCTCTACGATGAGAATTACAAAATCTTAAAGAAAGAAATAGAAGAGGATACCAAAAAATGAAAAAATCTTCCATGCTCAGGGATTGGAAGAATCAACATCATCAAAATGTCCATTCACCCAAAAGCAATTTATAGATTCAATGCAATACCAATCAAAATACCAAAGACATTCTTCTCAGATCTAGAGAAAACGATGCTGAAATTCATATGGAGGCACAGGAGACCATGAAGAGCTAAAGCAATCTTGTAAAACAAAAACAAAGCTGGAGGCATCACAATACCAGAGTTCAGGACATACAACAGGGCATTTGTAATCAAAACAGCATGGTACTGGTACAGAAACAGATGGATAGACCAATGGAACAGAATTGAAACACCAGAAATCAACCCAAACATCTACAGCCAACTTATATTTGATCAAGGATCTAAAACCAATTCCTGGAGCAAGGACAGTCTATTCAATAAATGGCGCTGGGAAAACTGGATTTCCACGTGCAGAAGCATGAAGCAAGACCCCTACCTTACACCTTAAACAAAAATCCACTCAAACATGAATTAAAGACTTAAATCTATGACCCGACACCATCAAATTATTAGAGAACATTGGAGAAACCCTGTAAGATATGGGCACAGGTAAAGACTTCTTGGAAAAGACCCTGGAGGCACAGGCAGTCAAAGCCAAAATTAACAATTGGGATTAGATCAAATTGAGAAGTTTCTGTACTGCAAAAGAACCAGTCAGGAAAGTGAAGAGGCAACCAACAGAATGGGAAAAATATTTGCAAATTATGCAACAGAAAAAGGGTTAATAACCAGAATCTACAAAGAGATCAAGAAACTCCACAACAACAAAACAAACAACCCACTTAAGAGATGGGCCAAGGACCTCAATAGACATTTTTCAAAAGAGGAAATCCAAATGGCCAACAGACACATGAAAAAATGTTCAGGATCACTAGCCATCAGGGAAATGCAAATCAAAACCACAATGAGATTTCACCTTACCCCCATTAGAATGGCTTACATACAGAAATCTACCAACAACAGATCCTGGTGAAACACTAACCCACTGTTCGTGGGAATGCAAACTGGTTTAGCCACTATGGAACTCAGTTTGGATATTGCTCAGAAACCTGAATATATCCCTACCATACAACCCAGCCATCCCACTCCTTGGAATTTATCCAAAGGAAATTAAATTGGCAAAAAATAGAGCCATCTATACCTCAATGTTTATTGAAGCTCAATTCACAATAGCCAAGACTGGAATCAACCTAAATGCCCATCAACGGTAGACTGGATAAAGAAATTATGGGACATGTACTCTATAGAATACTATACAGCAGTAAAAAAAATGAAATCCGGTCATTTGCAACAAAATTTAGGAATCTGAAAAACATCATGCTGAGTGAAATAAGCCAGTATCACAGGGACAAATATCATATGTTCTCCCTGATCAGTGACCACTAACCGAGCACCAAAAAAGAAACCTGTTGAAGTGAAATGGACACTATGAGAAACGGTGACTTGGTCAGCCCATGTCCTAACTGTTGAGAAATAACTTACTATTTTATTCCTTTGAGTATTTTTTTCTTCTACTTAGTACTATTGTTTGAACTCTTTAATTAACACACAACTATTCTTAGGTGTTTAAATTTAACTGAATAGTGATTCCTGATAAATATAAGAGCAAGAATAAGAAAGGGAAGAGATGTACAGTTCACCACATGCTCACTTGGACTTTCCCCTAATGGTAGAGCTAGAAACATGCCAGGGGATTCCAATTCAATCCAATCAAGGTGGCATGTACCAATGCCATCTTATTTGTTAAAGTGATCAGTTTCAGTTCATAATTGATCAAAAAGATAGGATTAAGTGTCAAAGGGATTACATAAATAAGAACAGTGTCTGCAAATAATAATTGATAGGATTAAAAAGGAGAGAACAATCCAACGTAGGAAGCAGGATACACAGCAGACTCATAGAATGGCAAACGCCCTAAACAGCACTCTGGCCTCAGAATCAGCCCTTAAGGCATTCAGATTTGGCTAAAAAGCCCATGAGAGTTTAGCAGGCATGGAAAGCCAAGACACTTGGCAAAGAAAAATGACCTAATATTTGATTTTAGGACTACAAAAAGGCATTTAAAATTTTCTGTTACATATTTGTAAATGCTGTTCATGGTATCCCAGGAAGTGCACTTTCATCATTTATAGCTGAGAATTCTGTGATATGTTGAGTAGAGATTAAGTAAATTATTCAATAATTTAAAGAATAACATGTCTATTCCATGTCTACTTCCTTCCCAATGATAAGCCTTCTGAATTCCACAGCTTTGGGTGTAATATATTTTATTTCATATTATTTTTTATTAAATCACTATACAATTATATTTGTAATATGCTGACTCTAGTAGAACATTCAAAAATCATCCCAAATGTTGTACAGTTGTTACAGTTCTATTCCGTGCATTTCACAGTGTCCCTACACCTTGCCCAATAAAATGCACTATAATTCTCAAAACTACTATATCTGAAGCATCTCCAAGAATTCCTAAAATGCATCATACAGCAGTGATTCTCAAACTATGTGTCATAAAGGACTAGTTTTTCTTCCTATTCTGTCTGAGATCTACTCTTTTACTACAAAATAAAATAAAGATGGGCTACTAGGGGAAAAACAAAGAAATACAAAATAAAAGCTCCATTTTATGATTATTAGAGTTAAAAACAAAAATTAATCTGTCAAATGACCATGTAAGTTCCTAAATGATTACTCTCATTTTCTATTTTTTTTCATTGACAATCAATAACAAATAGTTCACAGACCAGCAGTGGCCCAAGGACCACACTTTGAATGGCATTGCTTTGGGAACAGTACTGCTCTCACCAAGAACAAGTGGTAAAAATAAATCAATATGTACAATTTTTAATTATTATTACTTCTATAATTTTTTATTCTCAATATCCTTTAGGAGTTAGCCTAGCAGTTAAGATGCCCACGTTTCACATTGGAGTGCTTGGGTTTGCTTCCTAGCTCTGGCTGCAGACACCAGCTTCCCACCAATGCAGAGCCTTAGAAATGAGTGGTGATGGTTAAAGTAATTGGGTTCCTGTCACCCTCATGGAAGCTCTGGATTGTGATCCTAGGTCCTGACTTTGCCCTTCAACCTTGCTCAGGCCCAGATATTGCAGGCATCAAGGAGTGAACCAGCAAAGGGTTGCTCTCTGTCTCTCTCAATGCCTCTAGTATAAAATAATAAATTATCCTTTAGCAGAGAATGAAATTAACAATTCCACCCACATTAGCAATGCTTTGGTATCTCACACATTCTTTCTCAATCTCCAGATTAATATACACACCCCATTTCATTTCTTTTATAAAGGGCAACTTTGTCTTCTGTGACAGTGAATTCTCTCTTGAAAGGGAACATCAACATTATTTAGCTAGTGAAAAATCCAGATATCTTTTACAAGTCAAAAAATAAAAAGATAAAGCAAATCTGATTTCAAAAGGACTTATAATATATATGTATATATTCTAATATATATAGAATACAAAATATAATGCTCATCCCACTTCTTAATAATCCATAGATTCTTCCTCAACATTCTCTGCTATTCTCAAGGTTACATCTGACTTTCACTGGGTCTGCCCTAAACTAGTCCTCCATTCAACTCAGGACATCCCATCATAAGCATGCCTTTCTAGAATAATTCTTTTTCTTATGACACTAATATATGCACAGAAGAATTTAGGTGTTGATTCTTCTTTTTTCAGTAGTAGCCTAAAGAACATCATTGCTTGATGAGAATGCCAAGGTTCATCCTATCCTAATCATAGTTTTGATTGGGATTTTGTAATAAGATGCATTTGGCCCTGCTGTATGACCACAAACAATATTCAAAATAATATGTTAAATTTTAAAAATTTTTTAAATGCGCTATTGACTTTACAAGTTTTTATGAAAAAGATTCAAGGTTCCGAGTATTCATTTTAATGGATAACACCATTCTCTATTTTAAATTTAAGGTAAAGATCATATTAAGCTCTGAATTTTATTAAATATTTTCATGAGATTTATGGCACATGTTAAAATAACATGATACATGAGAACATAAAATGTTTAGTACATGAGATCGAAAGTGTAATTTAAATAAAAGCAATCATTTCTTTGTTCACTTACAATTTTCTATTGTTCTAATTCCTAGTGCTATCCAAAGAAAAGAAACACACACTCGATTAACATTTAGAAGAAATAACATATGACATGTTTATTTTGTTTTTAAAAAATTAATTTTCTTTTGAAAATAGTATTAACCAAATGGAATTTGGAGTTTGTATATTTTATATACTAAAACATAATCTTACCCTTTTCTTGGCCACCACAGTTACGTTGGCATCTGTTTTGGATTTAGCTGTAAGATAATGAAATATGGCTGCTTTTAAAAAGTGCCTATGCTTTTGATCATATAAATAGAGTTACACAATTAGAAATTTCAACTTTCTCATGCTCTGATAACAGTATTTTGTTTTTAGTAGTTCCTTTAATTAAAATGCTAATAAACTCAGCTCCCCAGAGTCAAGTAGAACACAGTAATCCAAAAGCAATAATATCAGGGATTCATACACTTAACTTGACAACCCTCCTCCCTTATATTTGACTGGCTGGTTAGATATCCTCAAGTCAGCATCAAGTATATCTGATTCCCAGGTTCTGATCTGCTTGCCTGTAGTAAATAGGCTCTAGCATTAAATGCAGCTACCTCTACTTGTGTATCTGCTACATGCTGCACATGAGATAGGACTTATGTGATTTTCACGTTACTTTGCAAGGTGTGTAGGCCATCCTTGCTTCACAGCTGAGGATGCTGAGGCTAAGTTAAATTGAATACCTTGCCTGTGGTCATGCATCAGGGCCAGAAGCATCTGATTACAAGCCCCTAATCTTTCCAGGTTCTCTGCTGCCTCCATTTGGGACCACTGAGCTGCCAGCAGGGCCTTAAGGAAGAATATTAGTACTTTTTCTCATTCTACCACTATTAAAGATGAAATAATTAGCAACCAAAGAGTTTATAGAAAATCATTACAAGGTATTTTGATATATGCAAAATTATGTATGTGTGCGTACATACATATACAATGGTAAAAATTATTGGCATAAAACATAAAAACTCAGAAATCAGAGTACTATATTATATTCATTTCTAAAACTGATTAGTCATATGTAGATTTTCCTCTTTCCCATTTCCATCTACATGAATGTAGTGATCTCTCCTCTTGGAACACTCTTTTTCTCTATTAATGAGTGTATAAGACCATCCACTGTTACAGATGATTCCCACAACTAAGAGAAATCCTCATCTCCTTTGCAAATTCATAGTCATCTTAATCCATGTCACTTTCTTCCTTACTTAATGATTACTTTTGCATATATCTAAGCACTATGCAAAACTAGAATATTTCTTAAAGGCACTGGCCAAATTTTATACACAATAGTAATCTACATTATGTATAATTATTAGTAAACATACATGTTTTCTATTTAAAATCTTATATGACTCTGAAATACACATTTTACTGGAGAAATTAATGTAATCTACTGAAATATATCAAGTATTCACTCAATATATACTGCTATGTTGGAGAGTATAAGACACAAAACAATGAATATGCTATCAGAACATCTAAATCATTACTGATGGACCAGGGTTAGGAGTTATTTCTTATTGGTATATTGTAAGATCTAAATAATATAATTCATGCAACTAAAGCTCCAAAATAATGTCTGGCAAATAACAGATCATACAGATCATCAGCAAATGTACACTTCTATTTTAGCTCATAAAGACATTATGGAATAGTTAGTTGGTGAACTTAAGCATTAAATTACTAGGAAAATATACACAAAGGACCTCTGTGAGACCCCAGCGGAAAGAAAGCCATCAAAGAAGGATGTACTTTTCTCTGAAGGGAGGAGAGAACATCCACTTTACTTATTAGCCCTGTCCAAATACTGATGGAGTCTATATAACAAAAGGCATCCATAGCCTTGGCAGCCCCTGTAAAGAGCCTCAGGTGATCACTGACATCATAAATAAGAGTGTTAATTGTTAAAGGAACAACAGAATTCACTGTGCACTTACTCCCCATGTAGGACCTCCGTCCTTAATGAGTTGTACTTTGAGAATCGACTGCTAATCTTGTTCTCAAACTGTACTCTATATGTTGTGTGTGTAGGGGAGTGCAAGCTGTTGAAATCTGTGCTTAACATGGAGTTGGTCCTCTGTATATAAAATCAAACTAAAAGTGAACCACAGTGAAGAAAGGGATAGGAGAAGGAGAGGGAGGTGGGATGAGAGATGAGGTGGGAGGTTGGGTATGGGGAAAGAATCACTATATTCCTAAAGTAGTACCTATGAAAAATGCAATATTAAAAACTTTAAAAAAATCTACAAGCAAAAAAAAACTAGAAAAATAATTTAGTAATGATATATATTTTGCTATTTTATCATCTTTTTTAAGTTACTCCACAATTTTCACATCTAAATGATTATTTTAATCATTTTAATTTAGTTGAAAATAGTTGATGAGTAATGTTATAAAAGTAAAACGTTTTAAGATACAGGAAAAAAATAAGATAATAAAAATTCCACAATGTCTTTTAGATTCATAGAAGGACACGGAAGAACCTTATGGTATTATAAGATAGAATAAGAACTGTATCTTAAAAATCTACAAGCAAAATATATATCATTACTAAATTATTTTCCTAGTATTTTTTTTGCTTGTAGATTTTTTAAAGTTTTTAAAATTGCATTTTTCATAGGTACTAGTTTAAAAAAAAGGTAAATATTTCTTTGCTCTTTTGAAGATATTTAACAAGAATAAAAGAAACAATGAAATGTCAACTCATACAAACTGTTAAAACTTCAGGCCCCATCAAACTAGGTACCTTTCTCTGATGGGAGGAGAGAACTTCCACTTTGAGTATGATCTTGTCTAAATAGGATCGGGGTTGGCGAACTTGGAAGGCTACCATAGCCTTGGCAACTCATGACAAGAGCCTCGGGTGATTCCTGATGCCATAAACAAGAGTGTCAGTTGTTAAATCAACAACAGGAGTCACTGTGCACTTACTCCCCATGTAGGATATCTGTCCTTAAGGTGTTGTGTTATGTGAATTGATGGTATAACTAGTACTCAAACAGTATTTTATACTTTGTGTTTCTGTGTGGGTACAAACCGTTGAACTCTTTACTTAGTACATACTAAATTGATCTTCTGTATATAAAGATAATTGAAAATGAATCTTGGCCTGCGCTGTGGCTCAATAGGCCAATCCTCCACCTAGCGGCGCCGGCACACCAGACTCTAGTCCCAGTCGGGGCACCGGATTCTGTCCCAGTTGCCCCTCTTCCAGGCCAGCTCTCTGCTGTGGCCAGGGAGTGCAGTGGAGGATGGCCCAAGTGCTTGGGCCCTGCACCCCGTGGGAGACCAGGAGAAGCACCTGGCTCCTGCCTTCGGATCAGCGCGGTGCACCGGCCGCAGCACGCCAGCCGTGGCGGCCATTGGAGGGTGAACCAACGGCAAAAGGAAGACATTTCTCTCTGTCTCTCTCTCTCACTATCCACTCTGCCTGTCAAAAAAAAAAAAAAAAAAAAAGAATCTTGATGTGAATGGGATGGGAGAGGGTGCGGGAGAGGGGATGGTTGCGGGTGGGAGGGGGGAAAAAGCCAAAAGTTAAAAAAAAACTTGGTGTCACGCGGCTCACATGGCTAATCATCCTCCTGTGGCACTGGCATCCCATATGGACACCGGGTTCTAGTCCCGGTTGCTCCTCTTCCAGTCCAGCTCTCTGCTGTGGCCTGGGAGGGCAGTGGAGGATGGCCCAAGTGCTTGGGCCCCTGCACCCACATGGGAGACCAGGAAGAAGCACCTGGCTCCTGGCTTTGGATTGGTGCAGCTCCGGCGGTGGCGGCCATTTGGGGAGTGAACCAATGGAAGGAAGACCTTTCTCTGTCTCTCTCTTTCACTGTAACTATATCTTTCTACTGGCACCGTGGTGCAGTAGGTTAATCCTACACCTCGGCGCCAACATCCAATATGGGCGCTGGTTCTAGTCCCCGCTGCTCCTCTTCCAATCCAGCTCTCTGCTGTGGCCTGGGAAAGCAGTGGAAGATGACCCAAGTCCTTGGGCCCCTGCACCTACATGGGAGACAAGGAAGAAGCACCTGGCTCCAGGCTTTGGATCTGCCCAGCTCTGGCCATTGTGGCCATTTAGGGAGTGAACCAACAGACGGAAGACCTTTCTCTCTGCCTCTCCCAGTCACTGTCTATAACTCTACCTCTTAAATAAATAAAATCTTTTTAAAATAATAAATTGTTAAAGCTTAACAAAAAGGAAACTCAAAAACTAAAACTGGATTCAAGAACCTTGATGATGGTATTCAAAGAGTTAATGAAATAAAATGGATATTTATTATGTTTCCACTTAAAATGTATCTAATTTACATATAAATTTTCCAATATGGAAATGAATCAGGAACAGAAATATCCAAACTTTGTTAAAGGAACAATTTATATTCAAAAGTTGTAGAATCATCTCCCAATAACAGGAAAGTTTCTTGGGAAGTGACAACCATGCTTATTTTCAAATGCCAAAGAGCAGGTCTGATGAATACTGAAAACTATTATGATCACTAGCTATTTCTCTATTAATAATAATAGGCCCATGTTCAACTGCAGCAATATTAATCACCTTCTTTTTTTTTTTTTTTTTTTTTTTGACAGGCAGAGTGGACAGTGAGAGAGACAGACAGAGAGAAAGGTCTTCCTTTTGCCATTGGTTCACCCTCCAATGGCCGCCGCAGCCGGCGCACTGTGGCCGGCACACTGCACTGATCCGATGGCAGGAGCCAGGTACTTATCCTGGTCTCCCATGGGGTGCAGGGCCCAAGCACTTGGGCCATCCTCCACTGCACTCCCTGGCCACAGCAGAGAGCTGGCCTGGAAGAGGGGCAACCGGGACAGAATCCGGTGCCCCGACTGGGACTAGAGTCTGGTGTGCCGGCGCCGCTAGGTGGAGGATTAGCCTATTGAACTGCGGCGCCGACCTAAGAAAGCTTTTATTTAATGAATACAAACTTCATAGGTACAGCTTTAGGAATATAGCAGTTTGTCTCCTCATACCCAGCATCCCACCCCCACTCCTGTCTCACCTACTCTCTCCCATCCCATTTGTGAGCAAGATTCATTTTTTTTAAACTTTTATTTAATAATTATAAATGTCAAAAGTACAGCTGTTGTATTATAGTGGTTTTTAACCTCATAACCCCCTGCAAAATATCCTATCTCCTACTCCCTCTCCCATCCATTTTTCATCAAGATTCATTTTTAATTATCATTATATACAGAA